CCCCCCCCCCTTTTTTTTTTTGCTGTTATAGAACGTGAGGTCCATCACATGTAAGGGACAGCCATATGCATGTATATGCACGTATTTTCAAAGTGCTAATTAAATGGCTCTTTCCTATAAAGACAAAAAATTTCCATGAACTTGGACTAAAAGGTTTTGCAGAATCAATTATGATTGTCCTGAGAGAAATCGGAATCCTTTTTTTATGGAAAACAACACATTTCCAGCCACAACGCACTGTGCACAAACAAAGGTTTTATTGTTTCTGTCATTTATGGCTCCATGAGGCTTTGGAAGAATTAAGAAAACCCTCTCAGAAACAAAATATTACAATGCTGGCTAGCGTTCCATAGTCCTGGAAAGTGCTCAAGAAATAAGACTGAAACTGTAATGCTGCAAATGGTATTCCTCTTCATCCCTTACTCTTTCTTCCTTTCCCCCTATGAGTTTTTGTTTTTTAAGTCTGACTACATGTAGGAATAGAGTCCCTGCTGATAATATTAGCATTTTTAGAAAAAAGAAATTAGTTAAAAATACAAACCCTAGCAAATTCTTCGAAAGAACAACCATGTGTGCATACCCATGTCTTCCTGAAGTTCACCAATTTCATTTTTTATTTGGATCCTAAATCAAATCAGAAATCCTAATCCAACTAGATAGTTCCTGTTGTGGGTCAGGAATGAAAGTTTTAGAGTGTGCTTATGTTCTCAAGTAGTGACTAAGGACTAAGGCCAAGCTCATAAACATAGTCTAGCACAAATTAATTAAAAATGAAATGCAGGATTTATTAAACCAGTAATAGCATCAATGGCTGCTTTTAAAGATAACGCAAACTATTTAACTTATTTTGCAAAAGTAGTACCAAAGGTACCATTTCCTACTTCATGCATTATGTCATATCAAATCTTCAGTGCTCTTGACTTGCATGGGCTTCTGAAGTCGTAAGAACAAGTATGCATGTCAACCATTGACCAGATTGCATATGTATTATATTAAAATGATAGAAAATACCTAGAAAACATAAACCTTTAGAGACTTTAATATCTCCCATCACCCTCAAAAGAAAGTACAGTTTTTAAGGGTCAAATTTCACACCTCTACAATGGGACTGTTCACCTAAATACACCCTTGTCAATTTTTAGGGAATAGCAGCATTCCTTCCTGCTACCATACAGAACTGTTGCTTCTGAGAATAAATGCAAGCTTCCTGCTCCCTGTTGTGATGCCACAGAATTCTTAAACATTAATTAAATGCTAAATGATCCTCAGGATACAACTGACTTAGGAAGATTCTGCATACCCAGTGCCTTCTGCCATCTTACATTACATTGCAAGACATTATTTAAAAATGAGCAGATGTCATGTCTGAACCCCATTAGGACATGTACCACTTTCATTTCAAAGGCATATGAGTGATCCACAGAACTGTTATATAAAAAATTCACATAAAAATTATATTAAAGGATATCTACATTGTAAAGTAAGCCACTGACAAGTTAGGAAAAAAACATGGCTGCCTTTGCAACTTTAATTTGTTTCCCTTATGCACATGCATTATGATAAAGTCTTTAATAATGTGATCACAGGCAATATTTTTCCAAATATCATTCCGTGTACAAGATGGATGGAATTCACTGGGGAAAAAACCCTGTATTTTTGTTTCTTTCTCAATGTGGCATCCTCAACCAAATATCATTCAGTGTACAAGATGGATGGAATTCACTGGGAAAAAACCCTGTATTTTTGTTTCTGTTTCAATATGGCATCCTCAACCTTACATACTGCATTGCTCTGGAGACAGAATTATTATTAATTTTCTGAATGGACTTTGTGTCGTACTCAACATTATTTTAACTGAGTGTTTCATAAGCATTTTCCCTAGTGGGAAATAATTTCCTCCATTGTACAGAAAGAGAACTAATGTATAGAGAGGTTAACATAAAAAATAGGCTCTAATTGTTAATGCACAATGTGGTAAGATTACAGCTTAATTTTTCAGGATACAAAGAATTACATAAGCCCAAACATAAGCACAGTTTCTACTGATTACAAGTGCAGCTGTGCATGCTCAGCAGTTCTACAAATACAACCACAGGGACTAAAGTCAAGTACCCAAGAAGGGAAGAACATGCATTTAGGGCCATAACCTATTTCCCTTTCCCACACCTAAGTGATACTTATGTAGCTATATAATTGCAGTTTTTGGCACTTCACATGGTTTTGAATTTGGCATAGCTCACTCAATGCTTCCCAACTTAGCACGTTCAACAGGCTTCATCATGGCCTGCTAGATGCTTATAGGGGAAGAAAATCACCTAGGCATGAGTGTAAGTTCCAAAATGTTAGTTGCAGAAGAACCAAATTACTGGGTGTCAGATACTGGAGGAAGGGGGAACGGTTTCCCATTTACCCAAGAAGATTTGTGTTTTAGGCCCCCTTCACCCAGAGAACCCTGTGAGCCACACCTCTCACAGATTTTGGTTTTGTCGTAGTTGGGTTGGAGTCTTGTTGTAACAGTGATGGTCCAAGAAATGTATGAGGCAAGGCTTGTTTGTTTGTTTTTTGGAGATATCTTTCATTGGACCAACTATATATTTTGGAGAGAATTTTGACAAAAATGAAAGCTTGCCAAATGTCTCCTTCAACTATATAGTTGGTACAGTAAAAGATGTCACAAAAAACCTTTGCCTCTCTCTTTATTGTATTATTTCTGGTTTGAATTTGTTCATATTATTATAAAGTTAGATCCCTCAGTTTCCCTGACTAGAGGAAAGAAAGGCTACAAGGATCTTTACTAAGGCCCAGAGTTGCCAACGTCTCCTACAGTTAAATGTCTCCTAAATGTTCAAATAGACCTCTAGTTACAAAGAACTGAATAGCCTCCGTTGACCCCTCAAGTGGGCTTAAAGAGTCATAGAAAAGTAGGGCTATAAGGGACCTCCAGAAATCATCTAATCCCGCCCTCTGCCTGAGGCAGGATCAGCCCTATCCAAACCATCCTATACAAAACATTATCTAAACTCTAAGACTACTGTCAACCCTAACACAACACAGACCTAGCACCCTAACCTACCACAGGTAAAGCAGAAAGTCAACGTTCTGGTTCTATGCAATGTTGTCAATATATGTTTAAGAGATCCCAGGTAAAGGGCCCCAGCTACAGAAGAAGGCAAAAATCCCTATAGTCCATACCAAGCCGACAAGGGACAAAATTCCTTCCTGACCTTAAATATAGTGATCAGTCTGACCCCCAGTGGAAGGAGAACAGGTGCTTTCCTCTTCTTCATGGCAGCCCTTCAAGTATTTAAAGATTGTTATCATGTCCCCTCTCCTCATATTAGTTGCTTTCTATGTCCTTGATCATCTTTGCTGCCCACCTCTGAACCCTCTAGCTTCTCAATAGGCAACTGGTAGGGGGTGCACAGGGGTGCACGTATGCCCCCTGACAGGGCCAGTGCCCCCCCGATGGCTAACACTGATGCTATCAGCAGGACTGGTGCCCCCCTGACAGGGCTGCCATGGTCGGCAGCTTCTGCGGGTACCACCCCCCCCAGATTCAGGAGGCACCAGTTTTTCATGAGCTTCTCCATGTCCTTTTTAACATGTGGAGTCCAGAACTGCACACAGATGAGATCTAACCAGTGCTGAATAGAGGCACTATTACCTCCTGCATCTGGCACCTAATACTTCTATTGATGCATTTCAAAACTACATTTGCCTTTTGTGCAGCTGCATTACACTGCAAACTCATACCGAGTCTGTGATCTACCAAGATTCCCAAGTTCTTTTCCATATTGCTACCAACCAGCCAGATGTCACCCATTTTATAATTGTTTTTTTTATTATTCCTCCTGAGGTGTGGCACCTTGCATTTGTCTGCACTGACCTTTATCCTATTAGCTCTAGCCCAACTTTACAATTTGTTGAGACCTTTCTGCATTGCACTCCCACTTTCCAGTGTGTTCACAATCTTTCCCAATTTTTCGTTGTCTGCAAACTTGCTCAAGAAGTTTTCTATGCCATCAAGCAAGTCATTAATAAACACACTGAACAGCACTGAACCCAGTCAGATCCCTGTGGAATTCCACTTGAAACCTCCTGCTACTCTGATATGGATTCATTAACAATTACCTTTTGCTTATGGCTATTGAGCCAATTATCTATCCACCTTGTAGTAGTTTTACCTACCCCACATTTTTCCAGTTTATTTGAGGAGGACGTATGAGACCTTGTCAAAAGCCTTGCTGAAGTCCAGATATACCATATCCACAGCATTTCCTTCATCCACCCAAGATGTTACTTTGTCAAAGGAGGAGATCAATTTTGTTTGACACGATTTTGCTTGTGATCAGCCCTTCCTCCTCCAGATGCTTGCAAATGGTCTTTCTTAAGATATGTCCCAGTAATTTCCCAGGTATTGAGGTGAGGCTAACCAGTCTGTAGTTTCCCAGGTCCTCCTGCTTGCCTTTCTTAAAGAGGGGCACTACGCTGGCACTTTTCCAATCCTCTGGTACCTGACCTATCTCCCACAACTTCATGAAGATGATTGCCAAGTGCTCCAAGATCTCCTCTGCCAGTTCCTTTAGTACCCTGGAATGAAATATATTCGGCCCTGCAGATTTGAATGACAAACATTCCTTGACAGAGGCCACCCAATGGTCTTAAGTGAAAGAGAGAGATTAGTATGAAACAATGGTGCAATGGAGAGAATGGCCTGAAAAGAATGGTGTTAGTGTGAGAGCAGGGA